TTTGTCAACAATTCATGGTCGACATGTACGCGAAGATTGAGAGCGAACGACTACGATACTTACGATATAATCAACAAAAGCTGCGCGCGGAAGAGTACATTCATTTGCGAGACGCTATCAACAACAACGCCGACGTCGCCGAAATTGGTAACCATGTCATTTTACTATCATCGTACGTAGGCAGTCCACGTCATATGCAAGAATATATACAGGATGCTCTGACTTTCGTGCGCGAATATGGACGACCATGTTTATTTATCACGTTCACATGTAATCCAAAATGGCCAGAGATTACATCTTTGCTACTGCCTGGCCAAAATGCAATACATCGCCATGACATTACAGCACGTGTGTTCAGACAAAAGTTGAAGTCTTTAATAAGTTTCATTACTAAACCACATGTATTTGGTCCCACACGTTGCTGGGTGTATTCGGTTGAGTGACAAAAGCGAGGATTACCTCATGCACACATTTTGGTTTGGTTCATCGACAAAATCCGTCCTGAAGAAATCGATAGTATCATTTCTGCGGAAATTCCAGATCCATCCACTGACCAACTTCTGTTTGATATTGTTACAACAAACATGATTCATGGTCCATGTGGTACTCTTAATAGTTCATCGCCTTGCATGGCTGATGGAAAATGTACTAAAAATTTCCCTAAAGATTTTACCAATGATACGGTCACAAATGTCGACGGATACCCAATATATCGTCGAAGAAATCCTGAAAATGGCGGACAATTATTTATTAAAAATATCATCAACACAGACATTGATATTGACAATCGTTGGGTGGTGCCATATTCGCCTCTGCTGAGCAAGACATATAATGCTCATATTAATGTTGAGTTCTGCAGTTCTGTGAAGAGCATCAAATACATTTGCAAGTATGTCCATAAAGGCAGTGGTATGGCTGTGTTTAGAGTGGAAAATACTAATGTGAATGCTCCTCCAGTGAATAAAAACGATGAAATAACGCTCTAGCAAATTGGTCGGTACATCAGCTCCAATGAAGCTGCTTGGCGTATCTTTGGTTTTCCAATTCATGAACGGGATCCAGCAGTTGTTCAGTTAGCCATCCATCTTGAAAACGGTCAGCGTGTATTTTTCACGAACGAGACAGCGATTGATCGTGCAATAAATCCACCTAAAACTACATTCACTGCATTTTTTGAATTGTGTAATCGTGCGGATGATTTTGGTGCCTTTGCACGAACATTACCCTATTCACAAGTACCACGCTATTTCACATTGACTCAAACAAAAACATGGATGCCCCGCAAGCAAGGCTCACCAGTTGCTGCATGTCTCAATTTATTTAAATCAAACGCCTTGGGGCGATTATTTACAGTCAATCCAAGACACACGGAGTGCTTTTATCTTCGACTGTTGTTGGTTAATGTTACTGGCCCATTATCATTTCAAGATATACGTAAAGTGAATGGGCAATAATATCCAACGTATAAAGATGACGCCTTGCTGGAAGACGACAACCAGTGGGAATGCATGTTTGCTGAAGCTGCATTGAACTGTACAGCAATACAAATTCGTCTACTATTCGCTATAGTGTTGACTACATGTTTCCCAGCCCGAGCACAGATATTATGGGAAAATCACAAAGATTCAATGACTGATGATATATTGAATCAACATCGTATACGGTGCCACGATCTAACCATAACATTCAGCGACGAAATGTACAATGAAGCATTGATTGCTATTGAGGATCTTTGCATTGTCATTGCCAACTTACCACTTAGTAATTTCGGTACGAATTCGCCAAATCGAACTGCATCTGATTTAATGAATACTGAAATGAATCGTGAACTGCAGTACAGTACTGTAAAAATGGCAGCGATTGTTGCCCGCAATGTCCCACTAATGAATGAGGAACAAAGAACTATTTATGATCGCATTATGCTCGCAGTTTCAGCTGGACAGGTGGGTTCTTCTTTTTGGATGCACCGGGTGGAACTGGCAAAACATTCGTTATTTCGCTAATTCTTGCTGAAATACGATCAAATAATGGCATCGCATTGGCCGTTGCATCATCGGGCATTGCAGCAACTTTATTGGATGGAGGTAGAACAGCTCATTCAGTATTTAAGCTGCCACTAAATATTCAGAATAACCCTGACGCAGTATGCAACATTAAGAAACAATCGTCCATGGCCACTGTGCTGAAACGGTGCAAAATTATTATTTGGGATGAATGTACTATGGCACACAAACATTCACTTGAGGCGTTGAACAGGACATTGAAAGATATTAAAAACAGTGACAAACTATTTGGCGGAACTCTGTTGGTCCTTTCAGGTGATTTCAGATAAACACTTCCAGTCATTCCACGTTCAACATACGCTAATGGGATCAACGCTTGCTTAAAATCATCTCCATTGTGGCGTAATGTTGAAAAAGTACAGCTGAAATTAAATATGCGCGTTCAAATGCTTCAAGATCCATCCGCTGAAACATTCTCAAAACAACTCTTAGATATCGGTGATGGAAAAGTTGCTATAGATGAAACTGGATACGTAAAATTACCGACCGATTTCTGCACAATCGCTGATTCGCAAGATACTCTCATTGAACAAATATTTCCCGATGCACACACACAGTACATAAATCATGAGTGGCTTGCAGAAAGAGCGATTTTAGCGGCAAAAAATGTAGACGTTGACAATTTAAATCTGAAGATACAAATGTTGTTGCCAGGGAACTTGGTGTCATATAAATCTATTGATACAGTTTGCGACGACAGCGAAGCAGTAAATTTTCCCACAGAGTTTTTGAACTCACTGGATTTGCCAGGCATGCCACCACATAATTTAAAATTAAAGGGTGGATCTCCAATTATCTTGCTTCGTAATTTGAACCCGCCCCGGCTGTGCAACGATACGCTACGATACGATATTCAAAATTAATGAAAAACGTGATCGAAGCCAGGATTTTAAATGGCAAGTTCAGAGGTGAAAATATACTCATACCACGGATTCCTATTATACCTACAGATGTGCCAATTCAACTCAAGCGTATTCAATTTCCGATTAGATTGGCATTTGCAATGACTATCAACAAATCCCAAGGTCAAACGATGTCTGTTTGTGGATTAGATTTGAGAACACCATGTTTTTCACACGGAAAATTATACGTGGCATGCTCTCGAGTGGGTAAACCATCCAGTTTGTTTGTGTTAGCTAAAGATGGACTAACAAAAAATATTGTTCACGCTATAGCATTAAGAGATTGATATTGTTTAATAGTGTTATTGTCGTAATTGTTTAATTAATGATATATAATTTTAAGGAATAAATTATAATAACTTAAAAATAATGTTTGCCTTTTGTTATTTTTATATTCCCTCATCGTTCACAGCGCTCCATGCTTATTTCACGCATATACCACATTCTTACTTTTGTCTACACTAGAAATTACTAGGAAATTATTTATATGGCAAAACAACGTTTGCCGGGTCATCTAGTACATACATAAATACTTAATATAATATAAAGTCATAACTAAATATATAAACATATATACACACACATACATACATATATGTACGTGCATATATTTGTAACAGTATAGTAAATATCATAGATTTGAGACTTACACAGAAGACAGCGATAAATAATGTTCTTTCACTCGTTTTTTGAACAATGTCACGGTTTTGATTTCTCGAATGTGAGTAGGAAGCGAATCCCAGAGTCTTACTGCTTCTATGGAGAATGAACGGGAATATGAATGAGTATTAAAGGATGGGAATTTTAAGAGAGTTTTAAGGTGAGATCTACAAATTGTATCTGGGGATTTAAGAAAGGTAAATCGATTTCGGAGGTATGTTAGGAAATTTGGGCTATGTAGAATGCTAAAAAGGAGACAAAGGATACGAGTGTTCCTGCGAAATCGGATCGGAAGCCACTTGAGTTGCTTTCTAAATTTAGAGACGTGGTCAAACTTCTTGAGTCCGAAAATATACCGAATGCAAAGGTTTTGTAATCGCTCAAGTTTGTTTAATTGCTCCTCTGTGGTATCCAAAAAACAAACATCAGCGTAATCTAAGATAGGCAAAATAAGTGTTTGAACAAGAGATATTTTCGTTGATAAGGGTAAAAAACTTTGTAGACATTTTAATGAGTGGAAAGCATAATAAACTTTTCTACCTAAGTCCGTTATGTGAGGGCCCCATGACAACCTATTGTCAATAATTAAGCCCAGGTTCTTCACAGATTCAGTATAAGTAATTGACGTGCCATTGATAATCACATCTGGCAGGGTGTATTTATCAATTAAGCTACTAGTATATCTGCTACTTACTATTATTGCTTGAGACTTACTTGGATTAATAGTTATACCATGTGATCTGGACCAACGACTGATTCTCTTCAAGTCATCATTCAGTGCTTTTATCGCCAATTTAGCTTCAGATGCCACAAAGTGACGGTAAAGCTGCAAATCATCTGCATAAAGATGGAAGTTGGAGGATATTATTTTTGTAATGGGTAATTTTCCGCGACCGTTGCTAAGTACACACCGTAACCGTTTGATCCGCGAGACTTATTCTAAAAAACAGTGTAAATCTTAGTGGCTACTGTCAAAACCGATATCTACTGGAAGCTAGTGTACAGCCCTCTCTAGTGCCGCAATCTGTTTTCTAATCCCTTCTATAATTAGGGAACTGTGACAAAAATTATTTTCAAATAATTAAGACCGTGACTTACCTCAACAAGTGTACGCTCATTTCGTCCATCGTAGTGTGCTACAAAGGTCAACGACCGTCGGCAGCCGAAGTAACCCGCGAATCGACACGTAACGTCGTCGGCGCAGTGACTTAAATCGCTACGGGGATTGCTACGGACTACGAAACTTCTTCGTCCCGCCTACTCATCTACGACTCGTAGCACATCTTAGTTTCTCCGCAGTTGCGTTGCTTGCCTTTGCGCGTCTTTAGAAATAAAGTCACTTGAGCATAATATTACAACAGCTACATAATATAAAATGATTTGTTTGGCCTGTCATAAATTTACCCGACCCGAGGAACAGCTGAATTGCTCTGCATGCAAGGGATGCTACCACTACAAATGTTACAACATATCCTCCGCTTATTACAAAGAAAATCTTCCAGCCTTAAAAAGGAATTGGAAATGCCATTCCTGTAATCGGATCACGCGACGCAAGGAGGACAACACACCGGTTCGTAGACAACTCTCTCCATTATCTACTGCGGCTTCGTCGCATGACACGAACATGTCATGCAACGAGGTTCTGGGAACCTCCGACGTGGGGCTAAATGACAGCCAAGTAAATAATAATTCAACTGCGACCCCCACCCCTCCCGCTGCGGCAATAACATACGACCAGTTTGGCGCGCTGCTTGATTGTAAGTTATCCAAGTGATATAAGAGACGACATCACCCACCTTCGCGAATGTCTCGACGCCTTGAACTCCAAACTGGCGGACTCTGATCGGCGAATTAAGTCACTTGAGTCCGTTGAAAAAGAAAATAATGTCCTTAAGGCCACCGTTGCCGATCTGCAGTCTCGTCTAAACAGCCAAGCTCAGATTGCCTTAGGAAATGAGCTGGAAATATCGGGTCTAGAAGAAACACCAAATGAAAACCCAACTCACTTGGTATTAACTGTCGCCGCTAAACTGGGCATTGAGCTTCAGGATATGGACTTGATGACTTATATATATATATACCAAGCTGGTCCCAAAAACCAAAACATAAACACTAACGTGAGTGGGAACCGTAAACTTCACCGTTCCTTGGTGGTTGCTTTTACCCGTCGATCTAAACGTGAGGAATTCCTTAAACACGCGAAAGCTAGAAAAAACCTAAAGAGTAAAGACATTTTGAATCATGGGCCTGAAAATTTGATCTACGTAAATGAGCGTCTTACTGGCGAAAATCGACGGTTATTTCGTACTGCGAGAGCTTTCACCGTCGAACATGGCTACAGGTTTTGCTGGCTTCGAAACGGATCCATATTTATTAGGAAAAGGGATGTCAAGGAAGGTAGCCCCGCAATCCGTATTAGGTCCGAAAATGATCTCAGCCGCCTGCTCTGTGCCCAAACCAAACCAGATACGGCGACCACTCAGTAAACATTACCCGAGCCTCAAGAGCCTAGTCATTAATATTTTGTCACTAATTTGCAATCCATATGGTCGCCATTTTTCTTATATACTCATCATACTTATCATAACTTTGAATTTAACTTTTCACAATTGTAAGCGCAATCACACACACATTTTAACACACCTACACATCTTCTCCCCAATGGTACATTCCTCAAAATATTTCGTGGTTATCTACACCCCTTCTTATGTTTATATGGCACTCTCTCCTTTAATGCCAAAATACTCCAACCAATTTTTCATGATCTTCCCATGGCTTCCCTAGAATTGTTAGATGCTATAGATAACTCATCTCAGATAAAATGCCACTACATAACGGTCCCAGAGGATTGTAAAGACGTTCTGTCGAGATTTTCATTTAGGATTTTAAGCATGAACATAAGAAGCATGCGTAAAAATTTTGATAATTTCCTCGTAACCCTAAAAAGGTTGGATCTTGATTTCGACGCAATTGTCTTCAGCGAGTGCTGGCTTAATGAGTTTGTGACGGTCCCCCCTATTGCAAGGATTTACATCATTTTACTCTCAAAAGTATATTAACAGGACAGGAGGAGTCGCTATCTACATAAGAGATAGGTGGTCAGCCAATTTTTCTGAGCTGAACGTTGACGAGGGTAATTGTATTCTCGCAGAAGTTGCAAATCACTTCTCAGTAGTAGCCGCTTACAGATCACCTAGTTAAACCAACCCAGAAATATTTATTCGCTCTCTTGACGCTAACTTAAAAACGGTTAGTCCCTCTCCTTGTCTTATTTTTGCTGGAGACATAAACTTAAATATTATTGGGTCCGCAGCTGACAAAAACTTGCACACGGAGTACTTAGATGTATTAGCAGAGTACGGACTTTTTCCAGCTATAACCAAACCAACTCGGGTCCAAACCTGCATAGATCACATTTTTGTACCCGTAAAATCTAATGCGGAGTCCGTAGTCTATCTCAATGCTGCCACTGACCATGATATCACTATGGCAGGCATAATGTTAAAGACACACAAACCAAAAAGACCAAAACCTATTCGATCAAGAGTAATAGTTGACATAGACTCAATAAGATCAGAGCTGGAAGGAACGGACTGGTCAACAGTAATAAACTGCAGCTCTCTTGAAGAGTCTGTAACTCATTTTACTAAGACGGTATCAGAGGCAATATTGAGATATTCAAAAACTTGTGTAATAAGCCGCTCCAGAACTACCTTACACCCCTGGACGACTCCTGGTTTAATCAGATGCTCTAAACACCGCGATAAGCTTCATATAGAATATCGCAAGGACCCAAACAACCCAACTAAAAAACTTATATATACGCGCTATAGAAATTTTTACATAGATCTAATTAGAAGACTAAAACGTGATTACAACAAAAAAGAAATAATCAAAAATAAATATGCTCCAAAAAAATTCTGGGGTACTATTAACCGCATAACTGGCAAAGACACTAGCTCAAGTTCTAACCTGGCTCTCATCAACTCAAGACCCTCCGTAAAAGAGTCTCTCAATGTTTGCAACTCCTACTTTGCTTCTGTAGGTAATAAGCTGGCAAACTCTATCATGCTGAAATTAAATGAGACTCAAGAGTCCCTTGCCGAAAAAGTACACATTCCTGATCAACCCGTTGGTTCATTTTCATGAATCCTACAGATGAACTGGAAGTTTTGGGTCTTATCCGGTCTCTTGATTCAGGTAGTGCGCCTGGTATGGACGGCATCACTAACAAACTTTTTAAAATCAGTGGCCCACACAATTGCGGAGCCCCTGGCTGCGATATTTAACTTAAGTATCTCATCGGGAGTCTTCCCAAGCCAGTGGAAAGTTGCGGCAGTTACCCCCATATACAAGAATGGAGCTACGGACGATCCTTGTAATTACCGACCCATATCACTCCTGGGTAGTTACTCGAAGCTCCTGGAACGTGTAGTCCATAAGCGGCTGACTAACTATCTTGAAAAGAATAGCATACTCTCGGACCGTCAGTTCGGTTTTCGCCAGGGAAAATCAACTGAGGACGCAGTAACTCTTCTCACAGATATGGTTGTAACTCATCTCGATCAGGGTCGATCCTGTGTCGGTGTTTTTCTCGATCTGGCTAAAGCATTCGACACGGTATCCATCCCCATCCTCCTTAAGAAATTAAGTGCTCTTGGGATTCGTGGTCTAGCTCTAAACTGGTTTTCCAGCTATCTGTCGGATAGAAAGCAATGCGTCCAAATAGGCGATCAGGCAAGCGATCTTAGATCTGTAGATTTTGGTGTTCCTCAAGGTAGCATCTTGGGGCCGACTCTTTTTATTTCGTACGTTAATGATATTATGTCAATTCAACTTGAAAATAGTGAGGTTGTATGTTATGCTGACGATACAGCCATAATATTCTATGGTAAATCTTGGTACGACGCCTATTTTTCAGCCATCTCCGGGTTGTATAAATTACAAAAATGGTTAAATAACAACATCTTAACACTGAACACCTCAAAAACGCAGTTAATTTGTTTTCATAAAACTGCAGCGTCTGAACCGCCACCCTAACTTTTCAATAGCCTTAAAGTACACAACGACAACTGTAGTTTTCGCTCCGTGAGCTCTCCAAATTGTAACTGTGACCAGATAAATAGGGTCGGCTCCCTTAATATTTAGGCATTATAATAGATGAAAATCTTAACTTTAAAAGTCATATATCGGTGACATCAGCCAGGGTCCGTAAGCTGATACACACGATGAGACTATTGAGAGATTCTACTGATGGCAGCATTTTAAAGTCCGTCTACCTTGCACTATGTCAGTCCGTACTTAGCTATTGTATACTGGCGTGGGGTGGTATATCCTCCTCTACGTTGATAGTACTGGAAAGGGCCCAGAGGGCAGTTTTGAAGGTAGCTATGGGTAAACCAAGGCGCTATCATACGTCAGATCTCTTTAGAGAAGCTCAAGTTTTAAGTGTCCGTAGATTGTATCTTCTGAGGGCCTTTACATTTATGCACAAGGAAGCTTCAAAACTGCCGACGTTTAATACATTAATAAATAAAAGAGTGTTTAAGATCCCCACAACCTTAGTTAAAACATCTTTCGCACGTCATTTCACACTGTTCCAATCCCCTCGCATCTACAACAAATTAGTCAACTTATACGACTTAAAACGATCCCAACTTTATGAGGCTAAAATAAAAATGAGAGGTCATTTATTGACTTGGGACTATGAGAAATCGGAAGAAATATTGGTGACCCTTAAATAGGTGTTAAAACGGTAGTGGACTGCACTGACGCACGCCCTGTCGTCCGATCCCAAGAATTTAATCGTAGGGCTACCTAACCACTCAGCTTATCCCCAATTGCAATCTCTCACCCTTTTACTTATAATTTTTAGAGAATTACGTAACAGGCATGCTAGCACACACACACACATAACACACACACACACACACACACACACACACACACACACACACACACACACACATAACACACACACACACACACACACACACACACACACACACACACATACACACACATACATACACACACATACACACACACACACACACACACACACATTCATACACATTCACCCACAAGTACACGCGCGCCCCTTTTAATTAGAATCTGTTTGTTATGTCTGTAATTTTTCATACATTTTTAAGTCATTTTTGCTTTGCTGCACATAATTGTTTTACGTAATTTCGACAAATAGCCACTTTGATCAATTGTAAAATCTTTTGCTTGACCCCCACGAGACAGGCCATGCCTAGCGTGGGAGTCACAGAACTTATTGTATTTTGGCTACGTGTTTTCTGGTAAATAAACAAATTTATTATTATTTATTATTATTATTATAGAATTGATAAAAACGGTGAAGAGCAAAGGAGACAAGACGCCACCCTGGGGTACACCCGTTATAAGATTACACCAGTTGGAATAAGTGTCATTGGAACGGATATATTGTGAGCGACCCCGAAGATAGGAATCAAACCAGAGAATGGCCGAAGGTGAAACATTAATAGACTGGAGAATTTTTAAGAGGATATCAAAGTCAACAGAATTAAAGGCACTGCTGAAATCTAATAAAACGACGGTTTTTGATCTATGGCTCTACGGATATCATCAGTTACCTGAAGAAGAGCAGTTGTTGTACTATGACCGGGCCGGAATCCAGATTGAAATAAACTTAAAATATTGTTAGAATTAAGTAAGAAGACAATTGATTGTGAACAATATTTTCAAGTACTTTAGAGAGGAATGGTAATATAGATATAGGTCGAAATTCGGAATGTAATGTAGGGTTAGCAACTTTGGCTATTGGAATAATTTGTGCTAACTTCCACGAGTGTGGAAAACAGGAGAAAGATAATGAAAAATTAAATATGTGAGTAAGAACTGGGAGAATACAAGGTAAAATCATAGTTATCATTGTGGAAGAAATTTTGTCATTTCCCGTTGCAGTAGAAGATATAGATAGCACTGATCGTTTTACTTCATCTTCTGACACTGATACAAATTCAAACTGACTGGAATGTTGCAATGGGCATCTGGATAATTCTAGCAGGGTCTTAGCTTTTATAAATGAAGATAAGGAAATAGGTGGTAGAGAAAAATATTGATTGAGAATATCTATATCAAGATTTCCAGTCCCAAGCGCAGGGTGTTTGCCAATGCCGACTGTTTTAAGAAAAGTCCAGGCTTTTGCTGAATAGCAATTTGAAAGTGAGTCATAAAAGTAGCGCCTTTTAGCATCTCTACACAAACGATTGCAGCGGTTGCGCAGACTCTTAAACTTTATTAGATTTCTTTCCAAGGGACAATGTTTATATCTACTTCTGGCTTTATCCCTACGCGCCATAAGCTCTTTTATCTCAGTTGTAATCCAGGGCGCAGGACAACGTTTTATTTTTATACGTTTGACAGGTGCATGGCAATCATACAATCTAAGAATTAAAGCGGTAAAATTGTTAACAATATCATCAATATTATGAAAATCTTTTACAGAAGACCAATCTATTTTACTTGCATCACGTCTTATGACTTCTAAGTCAATACCCTTATAGCTACGAAGAAATCGAAAATGTGATTTGCGCTTAGGTGGACGAACACGGTACGATATGTAAATGAGGTCATGGTACGAAAAAGAAGCTGTTATTTGTCCATGATTTGCAATGTTATTTAAAGATGAAACAATGATAAGGTCAAGTAAAGACGGAGTGCAGTTTGGAAAATGATGGGTGGTAAATAGGGGTAAAATTTGTAGGTTATGTGAGGATACAATTGACTTCAGCTTAAGTGCACGTGAATCGTCCTTCAGTAAGCACGTATTGAAATCTCCCATCACGATTACATGACTATATATAGGACAGAAGTCTGTAAGTAAATTTTCAAATACATCAAAATAATTAATTTGCATATTATGGTTGTATATTACACCAAGAAGGATTTTTGTATGATGAAGTGTAACTTCAAGAAAAGGTACTCAGCAGATTCAGAATAAGTTGACGGGAAAGCAGAGATATGTTTGAATGGGATTTCAGAACGCAAGTAAATAGCTACACCACCCCCTTTATCAGTCCTATCATTACGTATCAAAATGTAACCAGGAAGTGAAAACTGAAAAGAAGGGAGAAAAGGCTTGAAAAAAGTTTCAGATATAAGAAGTGCGTCGATTAGATTACTGCTAATGGATGCAAGAAGGTCAGGATAGTGGGCAGGAACACTTTGTGCGTTGATATGGGCAACGTTAAAATTATTGGAATAGGGAGAAAAAATAGCAGAAATATGATCATGCAGTCCAAGATGTTCCGATGACTCGGCATCCGCGCTTAAGAAACCGGTAGAAGATGAATTACACGAGAAAAAACTAGCATCAAAATCAGATGGACTTTCCATAATTATGACAATAAAAATAAAAAGTAAAAACTATAAAATTATAATAAAAATAACTTAATAATATAATATATAAAGCAATATCCTAAAATAAAGATAAATAAATTTTAAAGAGAAAATATACCTAACTTATAATTAAAAAATAAAACGTAAATAAATATAAAAACAACTCAGCTCAACTCACTAGCGTAATGGAATTATTTTTAACTAAGTCTATGTATACATATTATATTAAAACTAGAAGAAGAAAAACAAAAATACTAATTGCAATACAAAATTAAGAAAGTAAAAGCGGAACATTATTTTAAACAGCGTATAAGTAAACATTACAAATAATCTTTAAAAAGGAGGTAAGTAGTAAAATCTTAACCTAAGTTAGTTTTGTTTGCGTTCATTGCAATAAAACAATTTCTCGCCAGGGAGTAGTATGTACTTTGATAACATTGTTTGTGACGTGTATGCGTTCCGTCGAAGTTAGTTCTCTTCACTTTTATGAAATAATAATTAGTTATAGAAAACAATACTACTATATTCAATTATTTATGCGTTAACAGTTGTTCTATTAACGGACTGTGATGCGTTATCGTTAGAAGCGGAGCTAGAAGGATATTTCACGATGAGTAGTTCCAATTCAGCCAACGTTTCAATTTTTTGTCGGGTTTTATCGGGGAGGATTATAACAATTTTTCCTTCAGAAGACCAGCAGTGCTTAATTCCAAAGTGCTTGCGTGCTGTAGTAAATATGTGATGCCTGGTTTTCGTTAAAAACTCTGAGATGGTGATACCGGAGCCTTTTAAATTGGCTTTGTTATCCCAAATAAACCGCCTCTGCTCAGAATTAAAAAACCGAACTAAAACTGGTCGTGTCTTATTTAGAGATGATCCAAGCCGATGGCAAACTTTTCTGTCTCAGCTTTAATTGTTTAGATATTATATTTAAAATAACTTCACGGAGGTTTTCATTTTGCTCTTCGGCAATTCCATGAAACAATAGAACTTTATTTCGCATCACCGTTTCATGTCTATCAAGGCCGAGGCATAGTAAATTTATTTGTGTTTTAATTGTAGAAAGAGTTTGCCAAACAAATGATTTAAACTCAGAGAACTCACGAGACAATGAAGTTATGTCAGGATTCGATGAACTGCTCTCGGTATTGACTTTTAGCAGCTTCTCTTCATATTCCCGCATTCGAGACCCGAACATCTTTTCGAGTTCGTTAAGATTATTAGCCAACTGGACATCCATATTAGGTGGTAGTAGTTGTGATTAGTGAGCGTAGATGAGTTAAATAACCAATTAATTCATTTATAACACTTAACACACACTATTAAATTTATAATAAATATAAATAGGCGCACACCAAAACAAACGTGTTGACGATACGAATACCTACTTCGCACTAATTTAAAAAAAGGTAATTACTTTTGAAAAAAGGTAATTACTTTTTACGCGGGCACTCGTTGCCAATGTTAAGTATATAGTCAGGGAGTGAGTTAAACAGCCGGTAGCTTGCTAATGTTGAATGCTGTATGATGAATGTAATGACGAGTAATAAAGAAACACCAAGTCTTCGTGATGGTATAATCCTCAATTAAGATGGCGTCTGTGGCCTAAGTTTGAATGACTCTTTAAAAGTAAAAAAGGGTTTCCGGTTCTCGGCCGTCGCTATACGAAACACAGCAACATCAATTGTTCAGTTTAGGCTGTTATTCTGTGAGAGCGTGGTCCTTCCTCAGTCGAGCTGATCCATTCGTGCTTAATCATAATTTAGCTGCAAAATAGCTTTACTACGTATAAACCTTATAATTTCTTCAAAATTATCTAATATTTTCGAAACGAATAAGTAAATAGAAAGTGGCGAAATTTCCTCTCATTGTGCAAAATCTTGAAACTTTTAATGATGACTCTTCGCTGCGTAGTTTCTTTCATTTACATAAACATTTCCTTATGAAAATGAAACTACTTCTAAAATGTATTTTATAATATTAATAATAATAATAAATAATTTTTAATTTCGAATGTCTTTTGTTGTGCCGACGTCTCAAATCTGGGCAGGGCTATCTTTAAATTGTTTATGGTTTATTATATTATTATTGTTTATTGGTTATGGAACAAATATAATTATTTTACGGGTTAAAGCGTCGCTGTTATAATATGGTTTGATTACGATTGGGTTGACTTGACTAGGAAAATACCACGATCTCACAAAATGCCAGCGTAAAATAACACCCTTTTTACTGGAAAGGAGGCATTAAATCTTAGTCCTCAGGAATGACAACGCGTATGCATTTTGATACTTAATCGAGCATAGATGTGGATATCTATGGGTTACAGCATCTACTTACCATCAGGTGGACTGTGCGATGGTTAGTCATCATTGCTCTGTAAAAAATTACCCGCCACGTTGCCCCAGTACGAACTTCACATGTCCTCGAAACAGTCATGTTTTCTCACGAAGTTTTTCAGTCATTGGTGCCGGCTGAGATCGAACCTGGGTTGAACGTGGTATGAAATTTACGCCGAGCATTTAGTTTCTAAGTTATAACGGCTTATATCTGTTGTAAGTTTTTTTTCCAAAACCGAAGGAACAACCCAACCTACTGTCTACCTGATGCTAAATAGCTATTGCAGTCTATGCACATCTTTTTATATAGAGTACATAGTCCATCTAACCGTAAGGAAATGCTGTGACTCATAGACATCTACATCTTTCCTCGACCAACAATCAAAAAACAGATGCGCTACCACCCCTAAGATCTTCTCTACACTCATCATACAAACAAAATACAGCAATACTTAGTTGCTACTTTACGCTGGTATACTGATCGATTTTACGCGCTTTCGGATGCACGAGGGTAAAAATCGCTAATTTCAAGATTCAGGGCTGCTTTAGAAAATTTCTTGGCAGAAAAACTCAAAAACTATTTTTTAGGCCTGACCCGGGGTTCAGGTCATGAGGAATGCGTCTGTTAATTAATCATGTCGAGGCAGTTAAAGAGGTAGATAATAAAACTTAGGTATCTTATGACATCTTATTAAGTTAACTTGTTTATCCTAGGTTTTCATTCGCCCTGTTTAGATTATAAAATACTGAAAACGTTAGATCATTAAATACTAAAACGGCAGAGCTTTCATCGGCAGCTCGGAGCTCGACGTGATAAATCGATCTGACAGTTCTTTGAGATTTATAATAACTCTAAATATTTTCTCCGGACTTTGCAGCTGTTGGAAAATAATGAAGGAATGTTACATACGTGTGTGTGTTTGTGTGGATGCGTAACGATAGTAGCGTAGCCGCATGTTGGTTATCGTCTAAAAAAACGATGGTAGCCCGACATAAAAGGTTTATTAACAATATACATCGGCATAGAGCGCGTACAGTAATGTAAAAGGGGCAGTCGACAAAACAGGTGGTGACGAATAGACGGGACACATATAGATTATATTAAAATTATATATGGCATTGACATTTTGTTTAGTTTACACTTTCAACTCACCGCCGGCTCCAATAAAGTTGTTCATTTAAATTTTATGTTCTTTCTAACCACTTCCTTTTTTGAGTGATGTAACGCATGAGCGTTAAGGCCAAATACGAAGAGAACTGGCAAATCTTCATGTATTTCGGTTCACTAGAACTTTGACCTGAAGTAATTCTAAGAATTAAAACATACTATGTAGGTTTGTTTGGTTCCTTCGCAAGGTGTCTACCGTTTTAAAATTTTAAAATAAGTTAATATACCAATGAAAAAATGTGTTAAGAAATTATATCTCAAAATTGATTTTCTTACAAAACTCTGTGAATATAAGTTTGGGAAAAATTAGTTTTACGTACAAATATTTGTATTTTGATTCCTAAAGTGCATGCCTTCTTCTTTTGCGATACAATTTTTAAGCTATTGCATAGCTTCTATCGCGGGCCTTGAGCGCGGGGATCGAATCCAGAAATTCCGTAACGAAAAAAAACCCTCACGCTCCCCACTCCAACGGGCACGGAGGTGTGGCGTTGAAAGCCGTGCATCGTCTAACGTCGTTTCAGTTCGGCAGACTTCGGCACTCGGCAGACTTCGGCACGGTGTTTGTGTGCGTGCGACTAGACGTATGCGTGTACACTACATGTATTGTAAAATATTAAAAATATTTTAAACAATATTAACTTCTCATTTATTCAATAAGAGAAAAAAAATTGTTTTCTTATCGGTCACCACGCTCAAAAAGTGTAACTTGATTTAATATCAAAGACTTAACTGCATAAATAAAATAAATAAATAATTATAATTGCATAAGTTGATAAAAAATGCTATGCAATAGCTTTACCGCGGAAGTCACCGAGTGCCACACGTATTTTTTATTTCGCGCGGCCATCAACCAAACCTTGTTATTTGGATTTTGGATTTATTTTGGATTAAAAAAAGACTAAAGTATATACTAAAGTATATACATATAAGGCATTTTGTTTCCTATAACATTTCAGTTTTCCTAAAAAGCCAGATATACGGAAACAGTGGATCGAAATTACTGGTCGTAAAGACTGGATTCCGACTAAATCAAGTACCATTTGTTCACAACACTTTAATGAAGATGACTTCGAGGTCAAAAATTCTACGACGAGATATTTAAAAAACGGTGCAGTACCACATGTACAAGTTGTGTACATTGTATGTTTATACTATTTTATAAAGTTATATTTTGTTCATAACTGTAAATATGTTCATATATTGTTGACAATATTTTTTAGGTTAATGATACAAAAGATTCTACTTTGTCACCACGAAAACGTACTCAGAAGAACATAGGCAATGAAATAATAAACAAACGTGCTAAAGTTCAGGTTAATTATAGATGGTACCTAACTAACACATTATTTTGCCGAGTTTCACTTTTATTGCTGTTACCAATCAACAAACTTCGTTTATCTTTCGTAATTAAACTATTATTTTAGCTTAATATACAGCACTGTAGATCTTATTATCTTGTTTTATTTTAGGAAATTGTAGATCCAATATTGACAACTTCTTCAACGGTAACGGTAATGGAAGAGAGTGCTAGTCAAACAATAAGGGATGTAGATCCAGTACCGTTAAACTCTTCAACAGTATTAATGGAAGAGAGTGTTAATCAACCAATTAAGGTTATGGATCCAGTACCGACTAATTCTTCAGTATTAATGGAGGAGTGTTCTGGTATAGCAATACAGGTGACAACGGACTATGTAAATAAATTTCAGTCTAGTGTTCCTTCCTTCGTTGACTCCAATGCGTCAACGCCGAGAAAAAAGAAGATTAACACGAATAATATCTTCTAAAGAAAATATCATAAAACACCAAAGAAATCAGATTAAAAGTATACAAGCACAAAATCGGCGATTAAAGAAAAAAATACATAAAATGGCAGATATAATAAATGACTTAGAAAAAAGTTTTCACTGAAAGAAGAACAGTTAAGTGCATTGAGAGGCACAAATTTACAGGTGAAAGGTTACTCTTTAAACCGAATTTTTATTATTATTTAATTTTTTGTATGTATGTTACGGGATTCCTTCGGTTTTTACATCTCAATATATTTTTTGAATGAATTTGGTAACAATTTTTATTTTATTTTGTAGGTTAAAGAATTGATTGATCAGTACATATCAAAAGAAAAGTCCGGTGGAATTACAAAACAGCGTTATTCCCCAGCTCTCCGAACATTTGCACTTACCATACACTACTATTCGGCCAAAGCGTATAATTACGTAAGAGATACATTTAAAACATGCTTGCCTCATGTACGTACTTTACGAAAATGGTACACAAGTGTAAAAGGAGAACCAGTCTTCACAGATGAATCCTTCAAAGCCGTTAAGGCAAAGTCAAATTCAATAAAATATCCAATCATAGCTGGTCTAATGATAGATGAAATGGCAATAAGACGTCGTATAGAATGGGACGGAGTAAAACTGCACGGGCATGTTGAGATCGGTAGCGGAATAGAAGGTGACCATATAACGGAAGCAAAAGAGGCATTAGTTTTTTTAGTGACTGGCGTTAACTGTAATTTTAAGGTGCCTATGGGTTATTTTTTGATTGACGGAATGACTAGAGTTCAAAAAAAAAATGACCTGAATTGCTTCGAGAAAAGGATGGTACGGCCGTGCCGCTTTTTTGCTCGACTTGGCAGATCAAGTACTATAACTGCCTACTCCTGTCATAATCACTGACTCCTGATAGCACATTTCCCTAGTTTCGCGAGTCGGATTTATTTGAGTGTATCCCTATGTTACAGATTTTTTTCTGTTTTAGGTTATATAGCTGGCAACGTTGTTCATTCCCTCATAAATAAAATAAAATACGACATATGCTCTTTTATGCAGTCAAACTGACTCTTGCCACAAATTAATTTAAAAAAAAAAGACAAAGGTGGCCTTATCTATCCTTCGAGTGACGTAATAAAAATTTGTAAATTTACGGAACTTGTTGTACGGCAACATATTATGGTGAAATCAATAAACATAAATAAAAAATCAATCGAAGTTAAAGTATTGACAAATTTCGTTGAGAGCTCTTTGTTTGACACAATCAGATTTCATGACATGGGACAGTTTCCGTTTTCTAACCACATAACCGATTTAACTAAGGCGGTTATAGATAAATACCTAAATATTCGACTTCACTTCTTTCTGAAAAACTCTATGACACAAAAAGAAACTAAGCGGCAACTATTAAACAAATATATTATATTTCAGGGGCAATAAAAATAACTTTCTCTTTTAAAGTAAATTTTTAGCATTGCTTTGCTTATTCGTCACATCGAATTATTTTATGTCTGATTTTAACCCTTTGTATTTTAGAGCTCTCAACAAAATTTGTCAACCAAATAAAGTCCTTCCCCAAGATCTAATTTATCTGTGTACTAAATTTGATCAAAATTGCTTCATAATTACAACATTAATTTTAATACAGTAATTTAATTTTTTTTATTTATAACTTACCTAAATACAAACTGTATCCATTCCCAACATTCATTCCTACATAACACGAACACTCAACTTGTAGTTTTTATCGATATCGATAAAAATTGTCAATCGCCACTTCACCTCACTAGTTGTTTACGCGTCTTTACGCCTTCACTACATGTATGAGTGGATGTGTGAGTGAGCACGCGCCGGATTAGTTCGCTCGATTTTGCCTGTCATTTGATTGGCTCTTTTACATATTTGATTGGCGTCTTTAATGCATGTATGAACGTGTACTTATATTTGCAAATGTAGTTGTGACAACAGGGTTCCGCCTACTGCCGACGCAGGTTCTCGTACAAAAAGTGTATTGGAGCCGTTCTAATGTCTTATTCCGTGTTCTGTGGCTAACTCAATGATAAAAATTCCTGAATAACCTACATGTATTGTAAGATATTAAAAATATTTTAAACAATATTAACTTCTCATTTATTCAATAAGAGAAAAAAAATTGTTTTCTTATCGGTCACCACGCTCAAAAAGTGTAACTCGATTTAATATCAAAGACTTAACTGCATAAATAAAATAAATAAATAATTATAATTGCATAAGTTGATAAAAAATGCTATGCAATAGCTTTACCGCGACAGTCACCGAGTGCCACACGTATTTTTTTATTAAGATAATTCGTTTTAATTACAAACGCCTAGTAATAATATTGTATATTGCCAGATAAAAGTTTGCCGTCATAAATTACCAGGCGCTTCGATGTGTGGCGTAAAGTGACAGTAGTCAGTTATGTCTGTATTGAAAATCACTAATTTAGAGGTTTACACCCGTTTAAGTGACTATAAATGTGAATAAGCGTAGGAAAAGAAATAAATATTACTTAAGTGGTAAAACAAAGAGAGTTTATAGCAAGAACGCTCCCCGAATATGGTACGTTCCACTTTGAGGTAATATTTTTTTGTTGGAGACTGCCTAATAGGATGGATTTTTACTAATTTACATTAGCAAAACTGATTATTTATACGTTTCTGTATGATGAAGTGAGAAACTCTAAAAATGTAAATATCACGACCAAGTCGGAAAATAATGTACAGAGTAGTGCAAGCACAGAGACCGCAAACCATGTCACAGTCAATGTATTGTCCGATAGTATGGGGTAAGTATATCATTAAGAAAAACCGACATACTACGGATATTAAGTGATTGACCGGTCGAAGTAGTCTTGTGAGAATTTACACACGCAGTACCTGCCCCTACTATTGGGCAAACAGGGACTTTTTAATTTTTTTTCTTTAATATTTATGCAATTTGCATTACGGCATCTTGTAACACTCACAAGAACAAACAGTTTACAATTCAGTTACTTGAAGCATTTTACGTACGATGCATCAATTCAGAAAAAAAAATCGATGTCAATTCAATAATTTTTCTTTACAGAATAACTTTACTTTACAGAACTTATAATCTATAATAATATTATAAAGGGGAATGATTATTATTTTTGTAAGTTTCTAACGAATAAAGTACAGAATTTATAATCTGTAGGAATTAATATTAGGAATAAGAAAGATATAATTAAGAAGTAAGCAACGCTCTATTATTCATTACTCTGTATACCGAGCTAGCGCCACAGATTAATAAATAGTTTACCAACAAGCGCACTCGTACGGCTAACGCACGTGATGTTCGATAGACGGCGCGCGGTTCGCCACGAAACGACCAAGGTCATTCGCTTCGTATTCGGTCTGAAACAAAATAAAATAAAATGGTTGTTATATTAACACGCAATAAAATTCATATACATTCTATAGTTATACATCTGTTAACTAGGTTAGTCTCATTGTATATCTGTATTATCTATGTAAAGTAAAGTAAAGTTACAGCCTATATTCGTCCCACTGCTGGGCACAGGCCTCCGCTCATTTCTGAGAGGGTTTTAGGGCAAGGAATTGTCCGCCGCGCTACCCCAATGCGTGTTGGCGAACTTCACATGTCTTCGAAATATATATTTTTTTCTTATTTCTCTGACATGTAAGTTTCCTCACGATGTTTTCCTTCACCGCCGAGCACGTGGTAATTATATATGTACGTTATCACTATTCTTTAACTCGTAATTAATTACTCTGTAACTCGTAATTAGAAGGTCACACACCGACTTGTCAGTGAAGTCACACGGCTCCAAACCAGCTGAAAAACTGAAAACCAGCGCTGCCTTTGCAGCATATTGCAAGAGACCTACTTAAAATTGATTTTTTCCTTTTTTGTTTTATTTTTAATTAATAACGCATGTACGGACAGCTTCTTATTTGTTAATGCGTAACCAGTGTAAGACTGATGCGTGCATATTTTTGCCACCGACCTATGTGTATTTCTTTGTTTTAAACGTGTGTAACAAATAAATAATTCTTCTTTGTTTCTATATCAAAACTTCAATCAATCAAATCTTTGCTGTCAGCAATAAAATATATTCCAGACTTACAATAGTAATAAATCTAATGAGATAACTGACGCAGCGACGTTTGCCGTCTATAGTAGCATGTACTCGTATTGTGTTTGATAGAATTACGAGGCTGCTGGTTGGTAAAATAACAACGTGACTTCAACCATGAGATAGAAATATTTTGATCGAAGGCTTGTGGATGACAGTATGTACATGATTCAATATGAATAATTTTTTAAGTGGTAGAGCCATGCAGCAACTATGTTATTGTGCAGCATGAATGCTTCAGCCCGGTGCGTCTCACTAAATACCAAAGCAAGAGTTAATAGTAATCTTGTGTTTTGTATAGTGAATATAGAGAACCGGAGACCGGTAAGAGAATGGTGGTAAATGTATCAATTAAGAATCAAAATGCAGATGCGTTGTCATCCCTGAGGAATAGGATGGAATACCTCTCGTTACCAGTAAATAGTAAAAAGTAAAATTCCATACACAACATTTTGGTTTGCATATTTTCCACGGGATTTCATTATTGAAACAGACTTCAGCTTATGCTTGAGACTAATTTTATATTACTGTTTGTAATAAAATGGTTAATGTGTGTGTTCAAGTGGCTCGGATGACCCTCATCTGCAAAGTCTGTATAAAAATTCTAAACGGTATAGTGCTATAAAAATGACTGAAATAGTAAAACATAGTACTTACGTGATTAAAGGCTTGTAAATAAAATCTTCATTTTAAATTCTGATTTATTTGAATGCATGTGTTATATTTACCGTTACAACGACGAGAATGGCTCGACGTTGGAATACAGAACGAAGGCAATGCGACAAACAGCTTTTATATATTGAACGTATTTATGAAATTGCATTTATACTTATACCAACACAGAAGTATAGACGAAGCGCTATGTACATAAAAA